CCCCGCCTCCCAAGGGGAGGAGCAGCCACAGCCGAGACTCACACAGACTTCTAAAGGAAGTCATTCCCTAGGTTTTACATCCCCAGAGAGGGGATCTTCTTGACAGCTGAGGGTGGGGACAAGGCCCCCCCCCAGAGTCCTCCAATGCCAGGGAAACAGGTGTGATTTGGAAGGCAAGCAATCACTGAACCCCAGTGATCAGGGGGAGCAATGGCTGTGAGGCTTCCTTGGACAGCCTTGCTGCTGCTCCTGGGGCTTCTAGCTCTTGTCTACCTGCAAATGAGGCTCACCACAACATGTACACATTCCAAAATAGACCTCTGGAGAACCTTCCATCAAATCCCACCCAGGATTCAGAGCAGATGAGCTACTATGAAATGCAAATGGAAAGGCACAGGCCATAACCAGCTCAGACGATCCTGGAGAAGCGGTGGGCAGTGGGGTGGGACAGCACAGACACTGTCTGCATGGTGAGCATGGTGAGCACAGTGAGCATTGTGATCACCATGAGACACCTCAGGGAAGGGCCTGGTCCTCAGGACTGGTGCTGACTGCACCTTCACAAATGATGCTAGAGCTAACAGGACCCTTGACCAAACCCCCACATCAGAGCCTCACTCAAATGGGACCAGAAACATTAACATGCAAAATATGAAACCACAGGTGTTTAGAAGAACAACATAAGGTCAAACACCTGGGTGTTTCACACCTGGAAAACAGAGCCTTATGGGGAAGCTGAGAAGTCAGACTTCTTCAAGTTAAAGCTTCTGCTTTGCAAAGCACTACATGTCACATGATGGAACACACACTAAAAACAGCGACAAAACCTCCAAAGGGACAGCCACAGCATGAGGAGTCCAGGGTGGTTGGGCACCGGGAAGGCTAGCCACGGTCCTTATACCCTTGAAGTGAGCAGGTGTCTAGGGCAAAAGCAGAGCCTCCAGGCTGGTTAGGGGCCGCACGGTGGCTCTTCATGCTGTGGGAACCCTAAGTGGCAGCCACAGTGGGAGCACTGGGATATTCCTCCTGAGCCAAAGCGCAGCCTCCCAAGGAGTGGGGCAGCCAAGCCCCAGCCTCCAATCCAAAGACACAAAGTCTGTCTTCACACCACACTCTGTGGTCACAGCAAAAGCAGAAACACCTCACGCCCCTTGAGCAGCAAGTGACTCCCAGCTGGGCTGTGTGGACACCAAGGGCGGAACTCACTGGGGCAGAAGGGAAAGGGGAGGCCACATAGGCCAGACGAGAGGCTGGGGTGGAGGAAGGGGGAAGGACCCCTTGGAATGGAAGTCCTGCAGTGTTGACAGTGTGACCAGAAATGACCAAATCCAAGAGAGAGAACAGACTGGGGCAGGCTCCCTGGGGCCTAGTCCTGCCCACCATGACCACCCATGATGCCATAACCATCCAAAACAAAATGTCAAGAAGGACTAATTTCCGAGTACCCTCTCATACCTTCAAAGGCAAAGGCAGCTGGCTTACTTGTTCAGCTACAAACCCCAGATCCCAAGCAGGCAGCTCCCAAACATTCCCTTCTCTGAGTTTGTTGATGTAGACGTGTTGTCTGCTTCTAGCCCAGTGGTCATCTAACTCCATGACACTGGGAAAACACCCCAAGCTGGCCCACCAGAGGGAAAGCGACCTTAGCAGCACAAACACGATGCTACTTAGAAACGAGAGTAATGCACCAACACACAATAACACACAGCCCTGTGCTGCCCTGGGGGTGTTTGTGATCGCGCCATCCCACCATACACAGAGCAAATGTGTGGTGGTGGGGTAGGGAGCTGTGGCTGGCCCAAGACACACCCTGAGGATGACCAGCTGTCCAGCTGTCATGCTAGGCTAAGAGGAGACGTCTTTCCCTGGGACGGCCATGCTCTCTGATTTGATCCCAATCACTCCATCAGGGAAGCAGCCAGGACACAGGACAGAGCTGCAGGACAAGGGTGTAGGGAATGGTCTGCACAGGGCAAGGGGTATATGGAGAAAGAGGTGGCTGGAGATAAAGCTGGAGGATGGAATCTGAGTTCACAGTCTGGTCAGGACTGAAGTAATGGATTTACTTACCTTACACTGGAACAAGCTTTGGAACTCTTATTCTCTCTGCGCGTGCGCGCGCGTGCGCGCACGCACGCACGCACGCACGCACGCACACACACACACAGTCACTTGTGCACATACAGGCATTTCTGCGCACACAGGTACTTCTGAATGGTCAGATAGGCCCAAATGTGACCCACTAAATAATCAAAACACACACAAAACCTTCAGCGATATGTTATACTCATAGGCCACTTCCAAGTTCCTTTGAAAGCTGCAGTTAAGCCAGGCGCATGCATGGTGCATTACCCTCAGCTTCCGGCTCTGCTTCCGAACCAGCTTGCCGTGCTGGATGAAGTGTACAGGACACTGGTTCATAGCATTATCTGCCTTGTGACGAAGCCAGTCTTCATAACCCTGAAAAGAGACACCCCTAAGTTAGCTGCACAAACATGTACTCCACATGGTCTGCTGGACACACCAAGACGTTTTCCCACCATACTTTGACTTGCTTTATGTTCATGAGATTAGAAATATGATCCAAGTCTTTATAACTACACATTTGTGACATGACCCATGACATCTCCTCAAGATAAATTCCTAAAAGGAAGTGTCTGAGTCAAAAGTTGGGCAGGACTCTTAGCCCTCGGCTGTGACACTAAGTCCCACAGTGATCTGATGGTTCCTCAGTCACAGGTGATGGTGTCTGCCCACCACGCTCACCCCTATGTGTGCCGCACACCTCCACAAGCCAACGGAACAGGACTGGGATAGCCATTAGAATAGGCCTGGGAAAGACAGGTATTGTTTTCAAACCTGTATTTCCAGATTACTGTCAGATGAGACACAAAATGAGTTCACAGTAACTGGAATACTCTGCACAATTGTGTTCTAAAAAAAAACAAGTTCAGGTCTTCTCATGGTGAGGTCTGAACTCCCAGTGGGAGAACACAACACACCTCCACACACACACACTACTCCCCCAAAGGGAACATGGGCCATCCACACCTGTTACAATGTGGCAATGTCTCCATACTACCTCTTGACTGAGGGCTACACTCACTCCATGTCTATGCAACAGTATTTCAGGCAAAGCCAAGTGCTAGTACACCTGTAATGTAGCTACTTCAAAGCTGAGATTACTAGGGTTGTAGTTTGAGGCCAGCCTGACAGAAAAGAAAAAAGTTTGAGAGAACTGTCTCAACAAAGACCAGGACAGGCATTTGCCTGTCATCTTGGCTACTGGAAACCTAAATATAGGTGTATTGAACCCAGGAAACAAGAATCTCAAAATAGCACTCAAAAATAACCAGCAGAAATTAAGGCTAGAGGTATGGTTCAGCAGTAGTAAAATGCCTGCTTAGCAAGCATGAGGTCCTGAGTTCAAAACCCCAGTACTGCAGAAAGGAAAGGGAGGGGCTCTGCTAAGTAAGGCAAGAGTGGTGTGCACCTGTTATCCTAAGTCACTCAGGGAGCTGGACCAGGAGGGTCATGGCTCCAGTTACCCCAGGTGGAAAAGTCTGTGACTTCATTTCTATGGAGGAAAGCTTATAAGAAGTGAGAACCTAGCCTAGAAGTGACCAGAGAAAGTCAGGGGTGGAAGTGTGGCTCAGCAATAAAATACCAGTCCACCAAGCATAAGGCCCTAGGACTGAGTTAGAAGCTGCCATTCTATAAATTGCCCAGATGACTCAAGTGAAAAATGACCTGAAATTCCAATTTGCAGGATAAGTGGTTTGCAGTAGGCAAGCGCCTCCTACCAAGAATGCATGACAATTCCACAAGTGATTTGTCCAGAGGAAGACAAAGCACAACTTAACACGGATGAAGGATCTGAAGATGCTCCTAACACAGAACACTGTTCATTCCAACACAGGACTTCACTCTTTCCTAACATGGGATATTCCACTTTTCCAACACAAACATCGCTTGTTCCTAAGATGAACTACAACCTGATAAACCTACAGAAGGTGGTGCTACGTTATCAGCAGGAGCAGGCTTTGGGAAGGGACAGTGCAGGCCTCAGGACTCTGCAGTGTCTGATTTGTGGCAGTCTCTGGTTGGCTCAGGAGGCAGAGACCTATTTTCTTCTCAAATTCAGAAGGTACCAAACTAGTAACTAGCTCTTTGATTTTAATTCAAACAGTAATCCAAAGCAATTGAAAAATAAACCTCTACAATTTAACTTTTCTATGAGCTAGCTGAAACAAACCAGACTGTAGCTCTGAATGGAAGGCTTCCTTGACATGTGCCAAGGCTGGCACTGCCTTTCTCTAGTTCATGAACTTCTTACCTGCTTGATGGCGGTGACAGTGATGACAAAGAAGAGAGGGAGCCCACTGGTCACTGGACTTGTGGGGGTGTCGATGATCAACTGCAGTGAGGAGAGAGCAAAACACCCATCAGTGACATTGCCAGTGACCTTGATAGCCTACTGCCGGGTACCACAGCCACCTCTTGCTGCTTGTGCCTAATTCAATCACTCTGCTGACTCCCCATTGTCTTGCTGCAGCCAGGGAAGCCCCTTAAGATGTGTGCTGGAGAACCAGGTTTCACATGTGGCAAAGACCCAAGTCTGATGTGCTGATACATTTAACTCATGACATGCACCACTCAGATGCCTGTGTATACACAGTGCTCTTATCTCATGTGTACTTTCACTGAGATAAGCCTCAGAGAATGGACTGGGTGAACTGTAGACAAGAGGCCTTGAGTCCCTGATCTTTTTATTAGCAATCCGTATGGCAATCAGTTGAGAATCAAAGTCACTTAATTAGATTTACATTTGATGAGATGGAAAACTAGGACTGCCTTACCTGTACGAGAAAGATGATGAGAAAATAAAAGTTGGCTATTCTCCTGAATTGTTCAAATAAGTTCTTGGGAATGAAGTTCCAAAATGTGTACTGTGTAAAAGAAAAGCAACAGTAAGTCACTTGCAGCAGATTCTACTTTCGGGTAGTGTTCTTCTAGAGTATAATGAGCAATGGTGGATTTCAGAGGAAATTTCAGTTTTAGGCACCAATTCTTCATTCAAAATTGATTTCTGACATTTTATCTGTGTTAACTCCCCAAAACTTATTTAAGAAGGTGTATTCCAAAACTACATATGCAAATTACCTGATTTTCGAGGACTCAAGATAAAATAAATACAAAGTAGCTCTTCTCTTAAAAGAAATCTCTTAACAGATATGATCTGTATTGGATATCTCTTATTCTTCATATATTTCTGAAATGGAATAGCTTAGACCCCTCTCCAGGAAGCCATCCTTAGTCTCCTCATCCAGGGCACAACCTGCCACTCATTAATTAACTGAAACACCTCCCCAGATGTCTAGAATGCATTCACTCGGTAACAAAGGCGCATCAAGAGAAAGAGTAACATTAACATTCCATCTTTTACCCACTGGAATGTTTCAGGTGACAGTCATCTGGGGTCTAGGATTCCTTCTATGTGATCTTAGGCTCTAAAAGAGAAGGGGTGGCGATGTGGGAACTGCCAGCCTCAAATAATGAGAAACAGATCTAAAACCCTTCTCTCTGCGTGTGCCTGGTTTACAAGTTTCCATATGAAGATGTTATAACCATATGCATGAGATGAAATATCACCTTCTACGTTCTTCTAGATGCAGATCAAGTTTATTCACCTGCCAAACTCAAACAAAATACAGAAATGAACCTCCCACAAAGGAACATGTATCTGAGAATGAAATGGATTGTAAGTAGAGGCCAGAAAACAAGGGAAGGCTGTTTTGTTTTTTTTGGGTTTTTTTGTTTTTTGTCAGTTGTGGGGCTTGAACTCTGGGCCGGGGTGCTGTCCCTGAGCTCTTCAGCTCAACGCTAGCACTCTACCACTTGAGTCACAGCGCCACTTCCAGGCTGGGGTTTTTATCAGTGCAGAGAAATAGATCTACGCAGGTGTGGAAGGACCTGCAAAGGTGCTTTGAGTCTATGGGAGCGCTGCAGAGCTGTGGCAGGTATAAGGACACCTAGTTTTGAGGTCCTAGTGGTAGCTCAACTGTCTACTGCAAGGTAAACTTGTTTTGTGCCAGAGCCACAATCTGGCTGATGGGCTCTGTGAAAGTGCACCTGGGGTAGAGGACACGCTGAGGCAGAGCCAAGCAAGCTCCCACCTGCACGGCCCACAGCACCACAGCACAGAACAGCCATGTGTAAAGCAGATTCCCACGCCCTTCCCAGCTGTGTGTTACTGCTCTAGGACCCCTGAACCCCAAATTCTAACACCTATCAAGGAACCAGGACCACTGTGGAATTAAAAGCCACTAAACTGTCCATCGGTTCTGAGCGAGCCCTGAAGGTAAGAGTAAATCGTACACAGTTACCAGTGCTAACCTGTAATGCTGTAGAAGAAATCATCTAACCTTTTGTAAGTACACAGAAAATGGTCAAGGTAGGCCGAAATAAAACAACACCAGCATTTTACTGGAAAACTGACCATGGCTGAATGGTCATAGTTGAAGTATCTGTCTAGGTAGGTGGGCCACCATGCAATGTCTACACTGACCTGCATTTGGGTAACAAGTCCTTCCTACTGCTACTCTGATATCATCAGTGAACTATTTAATCCTGGAAAAACTCTGGTATCAAAGTCATGGCTATTTCAATGGTAAGGAAGCAAGGGTAAGAAGTAGGGAGACCACAGATATTCTTTCTGCACAGATGTTTCACGAGACAAGTCAAAAGACTTTCCTCTAGGTCTACAAGGCCATTTTCTTCCCTGAGCTACAAGTGCTATGCCAGCACTGAGCAGGTGCCTACAGCCACCTGTTCCTTGGTAAGCCAATCTCTGGTTTCGTGTTACTGGTCTGGAGTGTGGCTTGTGGAGGCCCCAGCTTTTCTACCCGTGATCCCACAGTCACATGGAATGAGGCCTGGGGGGAACTGGAAGCTGTACTCTGCCAGCAAGATAAGCACCAGGAAGCCTGGGGTATCATCTGTCTGAAGCGGATCCAATCCCACAGGTGTGCACCTGACTGTCTAGAAGATCCAGGAGACTGGATTCTGGCCACTCAAAAGCCAGGGCATGAGCAGTGCAGAGAAGACAGGGCCACTTGAGGGTGCCCACCCTGTGTGGATCAGAGGCATCTCTCTCACTGTTATGGAGAAGTGGATGTATAGGCAGGAGGCAGGGCGAATGCTGGACTGCTGGTGCAAGACACGGATTCCCCCCAAAAGGAAACACACCCCAGCCAGTCACTGAGCACCAAGGCCTGCATTTGTGCCTCACGGCAGTGCTCCAAGTGAGAAGAATGGTCCTCACATAACGGGCCTTCCACACCATGGGTCTAGCTGGAGTAAACTCACCCAGTCAGGTGTTAGGGCACTTGAAAACTGATTAGTTACAGAAAACTTCCTTTCAACAAAAGACATATATACTCCACATCTGATGTAAAGTTGTGCCTCACATATTAAAGAATATTCACATAACTTGAGCTGTTATTTAAGCAAAAACATTCACATCTTGCCCTGATCTCCAGCTCAGCACTAGCTGAGCTCCAGCGCCACCCCCCCCCACCTCCCTACTCCTACCCCCACCCCCGCCCTGAGGTCTGCCAGACCTTCCCGGATCTGATCAGCAGCACACTTGCCCCCTGTGCCTCCTGGGAACACTTCATGCCAGCTCTCCTCTCTGAAGGGTAAGGGGTCCTCATTGCTCAGGCATGCTGAGAGCCCACTAGAGGCTGAGCTCAGAGCTGTTCAAGGGCTCTGCCGATGCCCAGGCCTGGCCTCGGGGCCACTCATGGAAAAGCATGTTGACTTAGTTCTACTGGTTCCTGGTGTGAAGAGCTCTCTAGGAGAGATGGTTTTTTGCACTTCCTGGACAAACATCTAGCAGGTCTCCTTTACCAGAAGCTTACAGGGCCTTCCAGTTCAGGATCCCCAGGGAGCCAGAAAGACAAGGCCTCTCAGGGTCAGTACAAACCACTCCCTTCAGGAGAATTTGATAAGCCCAGAAAAATGATAGATGGGCCTCAAATGACTGAGAAAGTAGGTGGGGGGGGTGGCATTGGGGGAGAGGAGGCCAAGGTGTGGTGTGCAAAGGACTGGCTAGCAAGGCGCTTGTAAGAAGCAAATCCCTCTGCAGTTTCCCACCTTGGTCAGTCAGGAAATGTTGCAGCGTCCCCAAAAGTCTATACAGAACTTTCTATACCAATGAAGGGCTGTCACTGGAGCTGACATGGCTGGGAAGGAAAAGGCTCTGGGGCATGGACGAGGGCCAGGCATGTACCCAGCACAGCCCCGTGTACCCTGTACACATGGAACAGCCCTGTCCCAGCCTTTGATATGAGCTGATTTTAAGAAATACATCAGGTTTCTGGACGTTTTCTGACCCCTTCCTTATGGGTTAGTGAGACACATTCAAGCACAGAAAGTGTGAGTTACTTCAAAGTATCTCAGATTATAAACAGGTTGGAGAAGGTATGTGTTTGAATGTAAATTTCCTTTTCAGTTTATTTCTTCTTCACTTACTAAGCTTCTGTAATCACAGAGTACATTCCTTTGGTTGGGATTTTGTTTGGGGCATACTTTTCTAGATTACACATTGTGTTTCTACACTAAAGCTACTATCTGGTTGGAGGCCTGGCTCAGGTGGTAGAGCACCAGCCAATGAGCAGGCGAGTCAGATACTTAGTTTGAGTCCTTGTCTTGGACAAAAATGATGAAAGCTACTGTAAGTTTTTAAACATCTGTTACAATCTAAACAGCCATAAAATGGGATTTGAAATGACGATAACCTTTTTTGACACATAAAGGACGCTGGAAGTTCACAGAAAGCATTTAGCAAGTCCACCACAGGTCTATATCCAAGAAACTGTGTGAGCTAAGTGGGACTACAGCAGGTGTGAATTAAGAAGACCCCACCTGGGAGCCACATGTGACCAAACTGCACCTGCTCCCTGGGTCTACACACAGGAAACCATGGGTGTACAAAGTAGGTCTACACACAGGAAACCAAGGGTGTGCAAAGTAGGTCTACACACAGGAAACTATGTGTGTACTGCATCGTTCTAACATGTGGGTCTACACATAGGAAACTACTTGTGAATTATGCAGCCTCCCCCTGGGGACTTCACCTTCTCACACACACACATACACACACACACACACACACACCTACATACACACACACACACACACACACACACACACACCCTTAGATGATTGGGTTGTGTGCCTTGGAGGAGGTGTCATCTAAAAATACTCTTCACCCTCTCACTTGCACCCAGCACTGTCAGATCCATTTCCCAGGCTGGTTTCTACATGTGAAGCACGTCTGTACTTCCATCCCACTGAAGAAAAGGTGTAGGTGTGACACCATCAGACACCTCCTCAGCATTCGGGGCACTCCAGGAAGAATTCCTCTCTTCTCTATGTTTGGGGGGAGGGCTGGGAGTGCTGGCATCTCTCTCTTCATTTGCTCTCTCATGGTGGCCGCTCTTACCTCTACCTTATTTTGGCCCAGGGCAGTCAGTACATAGGGATGGCCAGACAGTTCTGTGGTGTGCTGAAAAGATGCAAGAGTGGTGTAAAGTGAATGGGCCTCAGAAGGTGAGGCCCTGCCAAGTGGACAGAAAAGGGGAGGTACTTCAGAGTGGACAGAGAAGTGGGGGGCCCACCGAGTGGATAGAGAAGGGAGGCCTGCTGAGCGGACAGAGAAAGGGGGTACTGTTGAGTGGACAGAGAAGGGGGGTACTGCTGAGTGGAAAGAGAAGGGGGGATACTGTCGAGTGGACAGAGAAGGGAGGTACTGCCGAGTGGAGAGAGAAGGGGGGTACTGCCGAGTGTACAGAGAAGGGGAAACCCTGCTGAGTGGACAGAGAAGGGGGCATACTGTCGAGTGGACAGAGAAGGGGAAGTACTGCTGAATGGACAGAGAAGGGGGCCCTGCCGAGTGCACAGAAAAGGGGGGTACTGCTGTGCTCTCTGGGGTCCTCATGGAGTGGAGTAGCATTTTAATGGCACCAGGAACGCTGTGGCTGCTCAGAACATGCCACATCCTGTGGCAAGAAGGACCATGCAAAACAGAGGACAAGACTACCTTGGAGGAGACAATTCTGTTGTCGGGGTATCTCTGTGGAATGTAGGCCTCAGCTCCTGGAGGGGGTTCCTTGTGTCCCACATAGATGGTCCGACTGTCCACCCAGTTCTCTTCTCCTGCACACTGTGGAGGGAAGAGCAGTCAGCATGAGCCTCGGAGCCTGCAGCACAAGTCCTCTCCTCGCCCCTACCCCGGTACCTGGCATTAAAACAAAGACCCCGCCTGCATATGTGGAGAGCCTCGGCTGCTCTTGAGTCCTTCCAAAAGCTTGAGTGCTCACTTGCCAAAATGGTTTCTTGGCCATCCCCCAAGTGGACAGCAGATAACAGGAGTGTCCATCTGTGCCCAGGGAGAGGCCCCGGGTCTTACAAAAGCTGGCTGTTCGACACAGTCGAGTGGGTATGTTTGAAATACATGCAACAGCAAAGCCTGGGGGCTTCTGGAAGAGACAAGACGATTTGGAAGGAGGTGTCAAATGACATGCGAAAGAGAAACTTGAAACAGTAAAGAATGACCTGTGCACATCAGCGTTGAGTAAGCAGACTTTCCTGGAATGAGAATGAGAGGCAGAGCTCAGCCTTGGGGAGGCAAGGAGCCCCTTAGGCTCACAGAGGGCCTTTCCACACCCACCAACGGGCCATAGCCATAAGCACTGAAGTCGCACGGGTAAACACCAACCCCCTCTCAGAGCCTCCTGTGTTGTCTGGGCCACGTGTGGCTGTACTGCTCTGGACAGGTGGGTGCCTCAATTGGCGGTTCAGGGAGGCATCTGAGGCAGCAGGAACAAAGCCAATGGCAGTACCTGGCCCAGCAGAGCAGAAGCCACTGAGGTTTTGCTTCTCACTGGTGGCCCTCTAATGCCTGGGAGAATTCTCCCCGCCTACAGCCCATGGCCCACAGGAGCAATGGGGTGGGGATAGCAACACTGCCATGTGTCTGCTCATGGCTGTGCAACCCTCCCCCGACTCCTTCTTGGTCCTATTTATACCATTAGCCCCTCTACCCACTTATCTGACTACTTTCTGAAGATAGAAGCCCCTCCTGCTGGGCCCAACCTACATACTGCTGGTACATAAACATCTGAGTTCCCCAGTGAGTGGATGTATACCTGTCCACCTGCACCTCCTATGTTAGGGCCGACTTCTACAGAACTGTCTGTACTAACAGAAAAACCGGATCAACCCACCCCTGAGAACTGCAGCCAGGTTCTCAGCAAAGACAAGGGATGTCACCTCCAGCACCACTGAGACGTCTCAGGTCCTGAGGACAGTCGCACGCATGACTGCGCCTCCCCTAGCCCTGAGCTCCATGCCACAGAAACCAGGTGCACTTTTCCTTTGCAAGACCTCAGCTTGGCTCCTCAGAGGGAGTTCTTCTACCACATCTGATGCCCATAGCATTGCCCACTCAGGCCAAAGGCCACTGGTGCCTCAGCTCAGGGCACAGGCTTCCCTGACAACTTGCAGGGAGGCCAAGAAGTGTGACATGACCCCAAACTTCCTTGGCGAGGCTCACAAGCAAATGTACAGCAGGCCAGGAGAAGCCTGAACCCCTCCCTAGAATGCAGCCAGACACTCCTCATCCTCATGGGAGGACATCACCGTGAAGAGACAGTCTATGAAGAAAAATACAGGCCTGCCTTCTTAACACAGACTGACCCTCCCAGCAACCTTTAATTCTTAGTTTGCCAGGCAACGGCTGAACTTCAGGATAGCCATGAGCCTGGCTGCTACTGCACCAGCTTTGAAAGGAGCCTGGTTGGGGGGAGCAGGCCCCGCAGGGCACTGTTAGCCAGGGGCAGTTTATTAACACTGTGTCCTTAACACTGTCAAATAGATGCTCTTATTAAACAACTCAAGCATGACAACTTCATGCCACTTTAAATAAGAAATGTAGGATTTACTTCTGTGAGACAGATTAGGAAATAACCTGCCCACCAGCATGAAGCAGGATTTGTCTCGACCTTAAAACAAAAACTCACTTGAGAATGAACTAGATGCATGTTAGATGCAAGGTGAATCCTGCACAAGAAAGCCATGTTCAGTGGCCCACCAAAGGGTGAAGAGAGGACCTGGAGGATGCCCGTGGCTCCTCGCTGTCAGCAGGGTGACAGCCCGAGGACAGCATCAATGCTGGACATGTGAGAAGTTACAGTGCCCAATCAACTGTGCTCACCAGCATGCATGTGAACAGGATACAGACAAGGCGTATCCATCACCTGTCTGCTGAAGAGGGCCAGTCCCTTGCACACAGTGATTATTCCTATGCACAGTCTGCTTGCACAGTGATTATTCCTATGCACAGTCTGCTGGCACACAGTGATTATTCCTATGCACAGTCTGCTGGCACAGGAGGCGATTATTCCCATGCACAGTCTGCTGGCACACACAGTGATTATTCTGATGCACAATCTGCTGGCACACACGGTGATTATTCTGATTCACAATCTGCTGGCACACACAGTGATTATTCTGATGCACAGTCTGCTTGCACACATAGTGATTATTCCTATGCACAGTCTGCTTGCACACATGGTGACTATTCCTATGCACAGTCTGCTGGCACACATGGTGACTATTCCTATGCACAATCTGCTGGCACACATGGTGATTATTCCTATGTACAATCCGCTTGCACACACAGTGATTATTCCTATGCACAGTCTGCTGGCACACATGGTGATTA